CCGGTGCATGCCTGCAAAGACGGCAAGTAGGGTTAACAATCAACATCAAAAATCGCAGCATTATTGGTACCAAACGTTGATGCACCATCTTCGCTAGCCAAGAGTCCGATTCGTTTATCCTCGTGAAATGAGAGTAAACGAATTGGACGCTGCTTCTTTGAAAGTGGATGAATAATATTGCCACCGAGTATTCTTATTTACAAACTTTGGTAGCATTATCAAGCATGACAGTGGTTATCTTCGCTAGTCAAGGATTTTCGGTCCGATCTGCTCCTCAAAAGCGGACCGAAAACCCGTGACTAGCGAAGACGGAGGGTGATGCTACAGACTAGGAAGGGCCGGTATGTTTTCAGGAACATGAACGACAACTAGAGATCGGCGCAATGTTCCATCAACACCAAGCTCAAGTTGCTTAAAGTAGCCTATACTAGTATTATCTAGAGCTGCACCATATCTACATTTCTGTGTTAATCCGAATTCTGGAGGATGATAGAAGCTTATCTTACTGAGCTGTGCTCATTTCATATCACGTAATCTCGCAAAACCTTACGAATATTCAGTGGCCCTTTTCACAAAAACTCTTGCGACTAAGATAAAAATTTCACAATTCTGTAAGATTTTGTTTAATAAAGATATTAATTTTTTGTCTAAGATATTATTTATAACGTTGTCTAAATAATGGATTGATGAACTGTATATTGTTTAACGTCCCTCTCGAGGATTTTTCAATCATATGGAGACGCCACTTCTTGCCGGTGGAGAACTGCAAATTTTGTCCCTTACTCGGCACTTAGGGCCATTGAGCAGGGAGGGATTTTTCATGCCAGCACCTATTGCGACACGGGACCTCGGTCTATACGGTTTCATCCACAGGCCTTTAGATCGCTTAGAAAAAAAATTGAGTTGTTGAAAAAAAAAATAAAGGTATGGAACTCTTTTCATGGGGTACCTAATTTCGCCAATAATATTCTTTTAAATCAAATGCTTTACAATTTTACTTTCTATCCATATCTATTCAAATATAAACAATCTTCATTACTACCAAAGTTCATTCCGTAATTCCTTATACTTCTCGAGATATTCTGAAATCAATTCCCAAATTGACAATAATTTTTTTACTCGACATCAGCTTGGGCCTTCACTAATTGTAAAGCAAGAACTACGGGACAAATTTTCCCCGGAATTTATTCTAAACTCAATGAATATTTGCTCATTTGCATTCAAGCTTTACAAGGTTTTTCTTTAATTTGATCATATGGTGTAACTAATTCATAAACAACATTTTAGCGGTCTAATTGTTTTGAAAATCGAAAGGTATATAATGCATTCCGGGAAAAATTCGTTCTACCATGGCTTCATTCACATTTATAATCAACATGGCGGTAGTTGTTGATGTAGACGTTTTCAAATTAATTTTTCGCGAAAGGAATATTATTACGGACTTAACATTACAATCTGGAGTAAGAAATCAACTTTAAATTTTTGAAAGATATTGCGAATACTATGCAACTCTTCGCCGCACTTCAAACACCATCTGTTTACATGTGAATGGCCAGGGGCCCAAGCTAATGTCGAGTAAAAGAAAGTAGGTCATTTTTGAAATTGATTTCAGAATATCTCAAGAAATACATGGAATTTCGGAATGAGCTTTGGTAGAATTGAAGAATGTTTATCTATGAATAGATTTAAATAAAAAGTAGAATTTTAGAGCATTCGAATAAAAAATATTTTATTAGCGAAATTAGGTACCCAGTGTAAGAGTTCAGTACCTTTATTTTTTTTTACACACACAATTTTTTTTAAGCGATCCAAAGGCCTGTGGTTTCATCCGAAGGGTCGGTCTCCAGACCCCCAAGCGGGATTCGAACCCGCGACGTAAGGATCAACTCCATACTTCGCGACTCTAGAGTAGACGCTCTATAACCACTGGGCCAATTTCATTTGTCACTGATCGGCGTATACCGAATTGCGCCGGTCATATGACCGGTGTAAAACGGCTAAGAGGCAAATGAAGTAAACCGGCGAAAACATAAAAAAAAAATGAATAATTACGCTAAATTATAACCAATTTATTAAGTTTTATCACTTTTTAGCTCACCTGAGCCGAAGGCTCAAGTGAGCTTTTCTGATCACATTTTGTCCGGCGTCCGTCTGTCCGTCTGTCTGTCTGTCTGTCTGTCTGTAAACTTTTCACATTTTCGACTTCTTCTCAAGAACCACTGGGCCAATTTCAACCAAACTTGCCACAAAGCATCCTTGGGTGAAGGGGATTCAAGTTTGTTCAAATGAAGGGCCACGCCCTCATTCAAGGGGAGATAATTGGGAATTAATGAAAATTTGGTGGCATGTTTTAAAAATCTTCTTCTCAAGAACCACTGTGCCAGGAAAGATGAAACTTATGGGGTAACATCCTCAGGTAGTGTAGATTCAAGTTTGTTCAAATCATGACCCCCGGGGGTAGGGCGGGGCCAAAATGGCCGACCAAAGTTTTACATAGAAATATATTGGAAAATTCTTTAAAAATCTTCTTCTCAAGAACCACTGTGCCAGGAAAGATGAAACTTATGGGGTAACATCCTCAGGTAGTGTAGATTCAAGTTTGTTCAAATCATGACCCCCAGGGGTAGGGCGGGGCCAAAATGGCCGACCAAAGTTTTACATAGGAATATATAGGAAAATTCTTTAAAAATCTTCTTCTCAAGAATGACAAAGCCATAATTCATCAAATTTATATGGAAGCATGCTCAGGTAGTGTAGATTCAAGTTTGTTCAAATCATGACCCCCGGGGGTAGGGCAGGGCCAAAATGGCCGACCAAAGTTTTACATAGAAATATATAGGAAAATTCTTTAAAAATTTTCTTCTCAAGAATGAAAGAGCCATAATTCATCAAATTTATATGGAAGCATCCTTAGGTAGTGAAGATTCAAGTTTGTTCAAATCATGAACCCCGGGGGTAGGGCGGGGCCAAAATGGCCGACCAAAGTTTTACATAGAAATATATAGGAAAATTCTTTAAAAATCTTCTTCTCAAGAATGACAGAGCCATAATTTACCATATTTATATGGAAGCATCCTCAGGTAGTGAAGATTCAAGTTTGTTCAAATCATGACCCCCGGGGGTTGGGCGGGGCCAAATGGCCGACCAAAGTTTTACATAGAAATTAATGGGAAAATTCTTTAAAAATCTTCTTCTCAAGAATGACAAAGCCATTATTCATCATATTTATATGGAAGCATGCTCAGGTAGTGTAGATTCAAGTTTGTTCAAATCATGACCCCAGGGGGTAGGGCGGGGCCAAAATGGCCGACCAAAGTTTTACATAGAAATATATGGGAAAATTCTTTGAAGAATAGCAAATCCATGATTGATCATGGGATTACTTTTAGATTTTAACTTTTCAATAATAAACCAATTTCTACTTTTTCTAAGCTACAGTACTCAGGTGAGCGATGTGGCCCATGGGCCTCTTGTTACATTATGTCTTAGTAGAATAATTCGAAATTAAATTTTAAAAAAACATGAACCTCATGAAAAATTTTATTTTTTAGAAAATAAAAACATATTTTATATACATGAATAAATATTTGCTCAAAATATGCAAACAAATAAAGAACATGTCGATTTGGTAAAAAGTATCTGCATTTTTACAGTTGTTTTCTCTTCCCGCCATATTTCTAAGACCGGCGATTTCCTCGCCGGTCATTTCAGACCGGCGAGATCGGCGTACGCCGGCGAACCTTCCCAGGTCAAATGGAGTAACATGCCGGGTTACCAAAGGTCAAGCTGCGCATTCGGCGTACGCCGGTATGACAAATGAAATCCTACCACTATATGTCACTGGAAAATAGGACATGGGAACAATAATAACAAGGAGAAGATGGAGATGGAAATAAAGGGCATGTTCTTCAGAGAAAGCATTAATTTAAATATTCACAAGAACACCTCTACATATTGGTATATTGTCGAATATATACGCCATTGTGCTAGGTAGGCCCACAGCAACGGTTTTAGAGTATTAAATGTAGAAGGCAACCCCTCCAAAAAAAGCTGACAAACAAAAAAAAATAAAATAAAATAAAATAAATGAAACAATAAAATTTAGGGGAAAAAGTAACCATTCAAAACATAAAAATCCTATTTCGATGGGGGGGGGGGGGGGGGGGCTCTTATTTTTGTACTTTCTTTTTTACTAAATGATGGATTTGCGAGTGTTCGTTATGATATGAAAAGTATTTATTTCGTTATCAGGACGTCCATATATATACATCTATACGTCTGAGAAACTTTTTGCAGTTGCTTCCGAGGTAAGTTGAGCTTTTCTTCTAGTATTTTGAACAAAGAATGTGATTCGATCCCCTTTATTACGTTATTGCCTCAATGTAAACTGGGTTGAAATTAGTGTTGAAAGGACGCTAAAACTTTTATTCTGTAATTTAGTTTAATTCGGCACACAAAACTAAACAGTCCCGTCAGCCGTCTGAAACAAAGTTGCCAAGTGGTTTTTGATGTATTTTATTTATGCCATTTTGACCCTAAATAATTATTAAACATATATTCCACGTTTGTGAGCTTTCTTCTTTAGATCATTATAGCTAGATATGGTCAATCATATATATTCAATTAATCGAATGCTCCTGACTACGAATAAAAAGTCGGAATTGTTCTAGCAAATATAATATTCTATGAAATACCAGACATTAAAAGTATCAAATGAAACGAAAATTCATACTATAAGCTAAAATACAAATTTACTTTGATTGGGTCGGTCTTTACCATGACCATGAGGTCATTGATTAAGGTGAGCGTTGTAGCCTAAGGGTCTCTTATTTTTTTCCTTTCTCTTATAAAAATATATTTATAGTGAAGAATATTTCCAGAATTTTTTTTGTTTCCTCGTACTTTCTGTGTAGATTAGAAAAGTTGTGAATATCCATGACTTTCTTGGCTCTGGACAGTTTGATAATTTTATCCTATGACGTCATTTCCTTGAAATTTCTGGAAATTTCTGCGGGACTGATTCAACAACAGCCATTGAGGCGTTTTAGCCGACTGCATTTCACGTGTCTTCTAGAAAATACGAGTATTTGAACAAAAAGTCTACTGAATATCTTCTCATAATTGAAACAAAGTCGTAAAGTGACAGACATGTCGGTCGTTGGTGTTGATGTGGGTAGTCTCACGTGCTTCACAGCTGTAGCTAGGACGGGGGGCATTGAGACCATAGCAAACGAGTACAGTGATCGATGCACACCGTAAGTACAAAGAGTTTTCATATAATAGTAGTCATAACGAAGAATTCAAAGTTATATTGAAGAAAAATTGGTGCGGAATGTTCTGGATCAGGAAAAAAGGACCGGGTTGGTCAACTCACAAGGGCCATGTGATTTTATACAATGATAATCACATAAAAAACATAATAAAGGAACAATATTCTGTCCAAATTTACTCTCATTTGATCTAAAAAAAAATGCTGTATTTTCTTACAGGGAAAACCTTGCAGTAACCTCATTGACTTAATATATGTTTAATATTCATTTATTCACCAATCAAGGGCCATCTGGGGGCATATACAATATTAAGAGACAAACAATATAACTGCAAAATTGACATGATCCTCACTTGTAAAAGTTCTCAGATTTGAAATACTGATATACAGGGTATAAGCCTAGCTTGTAAATTCAGTGTTTTCCCTGGGAACCGACAACCGGCCAAATTGACCCCTTTAATTGACAAAAATGCCGCTTTGAAATAACAATTTGTTGTAAGATCCACAGAGATTTTGTTCATAAACCTCATACCCTAGACTTTTACAATTGATCTCTAACCCTTTACTTTGAAATAAAAGGAAAACACTGAAGTTCAGCTATACTAACTCAATACAGATGACTTTCACATTTACAAAAGTTATTTCCCTTTGCAGGGTCAATTTTGGGTCAACCGACGTAAGATGCTGTCTTAAGTATCACGGTATTCAGTTCACGATACATGACATATTGGGTTAAAAAGTCAGACGTTTGTCATCATATACTTTAAACTTGAAAGTTTTATCAAATGCTTTTTACAATAACACTAGGAAAGTGATGACATCCTTTGACCTGTTAAATATGAGGCTTGAAACAAGTTTAAATGCCATTTCATTGACCTTATATTTGCGCAGAAGCCATCTTGATATTGTTATCCAGGAATCAAAACAGACGATTTGGATAAATACGGATTGATTGAGCCGAACCGTGATATCAGTTTCATGTATCGTGAATTAAATCGTGGAAAAATAAACCATATACCGCAGGATTGTATCGTAAAGAAAAATTTTGCTCAATACACAGCCCTAAATAAAATCTATATGAATATGCTCATCATGCTTTTCATGTTGCCCATACTCTGGCATATACAGGTACAGATCGAAATTGTTCTATATCATTTGAAATTTAAAAATATTAACAGGTAACCAGTCTTCGACAAATCCCTGGAGTCCAATGCCCGGGACCTGGTGAAATTGGAATTGGGCAGGTGGAAATTGCACACTTACAAGCCCAAAGGGCATGTAAATTCTAAGGCATAAGCCTTGGTATAATCAAATTAAATAAGACAGATAACATTAAATGTACTTTAAAGTCTTTGATTTTCCATCTAAAGAAAAGTACAAAATAAAATTTTACTGACAGTTTATTTTACCGCAATTTCCAAGGAACTCCTGCAAAGGAGACACAAAAAGTGTACAGGTTGAAAATGAATGGTGAAACAATAAATTGACAGAATGGATTTCAGATCATTTCCTTGGCATGAACAAGCAAATAAGAATAATATAAATTGATAAAATTCTGGGCATGTAAATATTTGTTCGGGCTAGCGTAGTTGGTATTCACACCTGCCTGAAGGGCATGTGCTGAAAAAAGGATTTGGCGAAGACTGGGTAACTTACAAAGGACAAAGTGGGAAAAATGAGTGTTACGCCGACAACGGGAGATAACTCTTAGGAATGTGAAATTTGTCTATTCATTTGCACATGATTAAATTTTTCCAACCTTAGGAAATGCAAACTATAAATTCTGATTCAGCTATCCTAAACCAGTGGCCAAATTGAACTTCTATGTAAAATAAAAAAAAAAATCATAGAGAAAAATGTTCTTTAGACTTGCATTTATGGTAAATGATTGATGGGTTCATTTCATTTTTCAGAGCTTATGTATCATTGAATGAGAAAACAAGATCCATTGGAACCTCGGCCAAAAATCAGTGTATCACAAATGTGAAAAATACATTCTCCTGTTTTAAAAGATTTATTGGTAGACAATATGATGATCCCTTGGTGCAAAAAGAGTTGCAGGATCATCCGAAACCATATTTGGTTACTAGGAGTCCAACTGGAGGCATTTTACTACAGGTAACCTTACAAATAAATATGTTTTTCAATTTAAATTTAAATTAATTTCTGTAGTTTTCATTGGCATTGTTCTCATTTGAAAATATGTTCTAGTTATTTAGCAAATTCTATGTGGGAAGTGAAACTAAAAAACAAACTTTTTTTCTACAGGCTAGATACATGGGTGAGTTGCAATCATGGACACCAGAACAAGTGACGGCCATGTTGCTGACCAAGATAAAAGAAACGGCAGAGAATGGTCTCAAAACCAAAGTTGTTGACATTGTTGTGTCTGTAAGTAGTTAGAACAAAGTCATGCTGAAGCTTTGCTATAGATGATTACTGCTGAGTATTATATTAATAATGTTTATCTGATCTCCATTATTCAGGTACCCAGCTATTTCACTGATGTTGAGAGGAGAGCCATGCTGGATTGCTGTGAGATCAGTGGATTAAATTGTCTCCGACTTATGAATGATTCCACTGCAGGTAATGTCTGATTTGGGAACACCAGCATTTACTTCAAGTCATTGCCACTAGTCTAGTCAGTGACATTATTTCATTTTGAGGGAATACACAATAAAAAAAAAAGTAGTGATATTGTTGAATCATTGAAACAAGGGAGGGTTGTTTTTGTGGATTGCATTGATATTACAGGTTCAAGTAGACATAATGTTATGCATTAGCTTGTACCTACAAAAAAGAAAAGCCTTTGAAATCAAGAACTGATTCATTGAGGATAAGAATTTGTTGATGAAGGGTATTCATGAATTCCACAAATACTGGGCCATTGTGAAATTTAATGTTCCCTCAGTCATGAAATATACTGCAATGAATTGTTTCTTGAAAGAGTGTGAATATAGGAATGTTTTTGAAATTAATTTTCCTCTGTGTGAAGTAAATGTTTTCATCACATTGTTTTTAGCTTCACTGGCATATGGTATATACAAGCAAGACCTACCTGGAGAGAATGAAAAACCAAGGAATGTTGTCATTGTGGACATGGGGTATTCAACCACCCAGGTCGCAGCTGTGGCATTTAATAAGGGAAAACTAAAGGTAAGGTGTACTGGTTCTTTGTTTGCCATTTGCACTATTAAAGATGTTCATTATCTCCAAATTAGAAAAATTGTTGTTTTATTGTATGGCAAAGTGCACAGAAATATAACAGAATTTCATCGAAATATGTATTGGAGTATTGCATGATATTTCATGGTTACATTGAAAGATAATATGAAAATTTTATTAATTATGAAGATAATTTGCTTAAAATTTGGTGATTTCAAGTTTTTTGAAAGGATTTAGATGTGGATGAACAAATAATGGTAGGTTTAAAATATTGAAAAATACAGGATCTGATTATTCTGATAGCTGAAGTACGTGTATATTTCAGATGCTGGCAGTAGAATCTGATCCTTGTTTAGGAGGGAGAGATTTTGATAAAGTACTTGTGGAGTATTTCGCCGAAGATTTCAAAACAAGATACAAAGTTGATGCCCACACTAATCCTAAGGCTTATGTGAGGTTGACTCAAGAATGTGAAAAACTGAAAAAGTTGATGAGTGCAAATTCCACAAACATTCCTATAAACATTGAGTGTTTCATGAATGACAAGGATGTGTCAGGGAAAATGGACAGGTAGAAATTTCTAATATTTATTTTTACATGTGTATGAAGAGCTGTAGTGCTCTCTGTGAAATTATGTATGCCAGATGAACTGGAGACAAAGTTAAAATAAAATGGAGATATTTTGTTATGGAACAGAAGTATCCTCCTCATTCAAATCGTGCATCTTACCAACATCAGAGGGCTTGCAATGTTTATTGTTGCTAAAGACATTCCAGTTCAGTAATTTATCCATTTTCATAGTAAAGAAGCACTAAAAGATAACTTCAAATTACAAAGTTTTTATTTTATAGGACCAAATTTGAAGAGCTGTCAGAACAGTTGTTGGCAAAAGCAAGAACATTATTCACAAAAATCAAGAATGAATGTAGTAAGTACTGTTTTACAAAATGGGAAAGTGTTTTATATGTGAATGTATGTAATTCTTGTGTAAACAAGGCAGGAGTAGAGTGTTGGAGGATTTTTGGGTTAATTTAGCTACCTTGGGATATGATGAAGAAAACAAGAGTTGAGACGTCACAAATTCTACATTTTAAAATTTTTCTACTTCTAAAATCAAAAAGTTCTTGATCAGAGTTGAGCATGATTATTTTGAGAAACTGACACCTTTGTTGTATAGTTAATAAAAAAAAAACTTAAAATTTTGCTTACAGAAGACATATACTCTGTTGAGATTGTGGGTGGCTCTTCACGTATCCCAGCAGTGAAGAACTTGGTGCAGGAAATATTTGGCAAGGAACCAAGCACAACTCTGAATGCAGATGAAGCTGTTGCTCGTGGCTGTGCTCTGCAGTGTGCTATCTTGTCTCCAACTTTCCGTGTTCGAGATTTCAACATCATAGATACACAGCCCTACCCTATCACACTCTGTTGGCAGGGGGGAACAGAAAGTGACTCGTAAGGACAAAACTGCTGTATATTTAAAATACTCAGCCTAAAGTTAGATTTTATGGAATGATGAGGATAAAAAGAACTTAAATCTATATTTACATTAGAAGTGTTCGAACTAGTGGGAAATGGAGGGTGAATTTTTAATACTGAGGTTGGAGATTAGATTAGAATTAAAATCTTTCAGCTTGGTAAATTTAAAGGAATGTAATGGAAGGAGTTCATTATTTTAATGGTAAAGTTCATGTATTGTATTTGCAGCTCTTTGGAGGTTTTCCCAAGATTTCATCAAATCCCATTCTCAAAAATGTTGACCTTCTATCGTAAGGAACCATTCCAACTTGAGGCAAGATACACATCACCAGAGATTGTCCCACATAAAGAATCATATTTAGGTAGTGTTTTCATGTCCGCTGTCCCACATAGAGAGTTAATTAAGTAAACTTTGCACAGCTATATAAAGCTTGAGAAAAGTTCTTAAGAATGTGTGAGAATTATTTGAGGAAGATATCCAGTACATAGCATACTTACATTTTAATATTCCACGAATTTTATTGTTTCAGGGTGCTTTAATATACAAAAGGTCACACCTGCTGCAAATGGGGAAAGTGCAAAAGTGAAAGTAAAAGTTCGAATCAATAATCATGGTATATTCTCTGTAATGTCAGCCACACAGACAGAACAATTAGAGGAGGATGGAAAAGAGGAGGAAAACATGGATGTTGATGGAGAGAAAAAGGCAGAAGCCCAAGTTAATGGGGAGGTATGATTTGTGTATCCCACATGAATCTGATATACTGTAATTGGCAAAATTTCAACTCTTCAGTGAAACTATATTTACAGAAATTGAAGGTGAAATCATTTGAAGTTAGTCACCTGTGTCTGTAGCGTTAATTTATTTAAGACTTAAAATGGACAGCCAAAAAAAAGGAGGACCAATATTTATTTTAATTAACCCTTCATGTACTGAAATGTGATTAGCATTCTCTACTTGATTCAATCAGACAAATTTGCAAAGTACTGGAGGATAGTCAATAGTTATAAACTAGTAAGCCAAATTTTAAAAAAAGCTTTAATTATAGTGTTATATTTGAATTGTAGACACCAATGCAAACTGACCAAGCAGGAGAAAAATCTGCGGAGAAAACTGAAGGTGGAGAAGAGAAAAAGGAAGAGGTAAACAGGATCGATAGTTAAAATATGATGATTGATTCTTAGTAGACTAATTAGTAAAAAGTAAATTAATCAGATGTTGGTTTAGGGGTCTAAGGAACAATGTCACAAAATCTTTGGTAATCTGTGAGAAAATGTTTATTATGTGTGCCTTGCATATTGAATATGTGTTGAATTAGAGTGAACATTATTTTTGCCTCTTTATTTTTGCCTCTACTAGGGTAAAGATGAAAAAGACACCAAGAAAGCCGTAAAGAAGAAGGTAAAGAAAACAGACCTTCCTGTGGAGCAACTGGTACCTCAACTGCCACCTGAGGAGATTCTCAAACTAGTGGAACGCGAGGTGAGATAAAAGTCTGGTTCTGCTATAATGATTTAAGCTGAATGTTTATATGTATATCTTTACTGGTTTAGAATGTTAAGTAAGCCATCACTTCATCAATAGTATTTTTACATGAGACACTGATTTATATTTTTGCCTGTATAGAATGAGATGAAGATGCAGGATAAGATGGAGAAGGAACGCAGTGATGCTAAGAACGCGGTGGAGGAGTATGTGTATGATATGAGGGACAAGATCAGGAGTGATTACGCCCAGTTCATGAAAGAAGAGGTAAGTCTTAATGATATAAAGGACAAATTTTAGATAGGTAAATGGTCTTACCTTTTGATTTTATTACCCAAATTTTCAAGTTTTCAAAACAATGAGATACAAGGTTAAAAAGTAGAGGAGATGGCATTTTCTTGCCCTGCCTAAATATGCTAAATTAAAATGTGAGTCCTAAGGAGTGATTATACATTTACAAAATTAACCTCATACATTAACACAAACTCTATATAAAGTTCAAATTACAGTGATTCTGCTGGGAGATAATATATTTCATCGTTTATCTTTCTTGAATAGAATGGTAGAGCTGCAAAGTTTGTTGGATCTTAAAAAAATTCATAATATGAAAAGCTCTGTATTTTTCATTTTAAAACTTTTTTTCTAGAGCATAATCTCCAATATGTTAAATGGAAAATTAAAAAAAATGTTTTTTCAGGATGCAGACAAGTTCCACCAGCAGTTAATGGACACCGAGGACTGGTTATATGATGAAGGAGACGATCAGATGAAACATGTCTACGTAGAAAAACTGGATGAATTGAATGTAAGAGGATATATCAAAAGTATTGTATTTATAACATGTTAAACAAATCATATCCTACTAGTATCTGTTTAATGGAGAAACATAACCAGTCGACTTGCATGTTATGACCTTGACCAAAGTTCATTGTCACTGCCATTTATGATTTATTTTCAGTGTCTGAATGGCTTCCCCAAATAACTGTAAACACTCCCCTATTTGAGGTACATGTATATTGGAATACATGTACAGTATATATAGAGAGAATGAGCTTGTTTCTTTCTCAAATTTTTAGCATGCAGATTGTTCATTGGAAAACAACCTCAGATATCAATGTTAAGTTTGAGATAATTTGGTTTTACTGTATTTTAAATACATGTATTTGCATCATTGACAAGATAAGATAACATCAATTTTTTATGCACCTTCCTGCTGTTACTCATATTATGTGAGGTAAACATTCACCAAGTGTGCTAGATAAATACAGAGAGCTTTTGGGGAGGTTAGCTGTTTGGAATTCTCCTCACTCTTCTCTCATACAATGAATTGAATTATAAGTGAAAAATATGTCATTGGGATTTTGTAGTGATGTATAAGTTTATATTTACATCTATAGAATGTTTTCTTCTTTATTTTCTAAGAAAACCACTGTGGTTTATCAATCAGTAAACACCGCTAAGCACATTTCCCATGGATATTTTTAAGCAGTGGCTCTTCCATCAATGAAATTTACTATGACATGCATAAACAGTAGTCATATTAATACAGAAGGATCCTCAGGGTGTAGATTTAAGATTGTTCAAATCAACACTCTGGGTGAAGGGTGGGGAGTAATTTAACATAAGTTTTGGTAGAAGAGGTGTTTAAAAATCTTTCGAAGAAAAGGGAAAGTCATGATTAGTCATTTTCAAGTGTAAGATATAAAATGTTAAATTAGCCTTATGTTGAAAAAGGGAAGGACTTTTATGATAACCAAACTGTTATCCATCCTAATTGATAAGTGTTAAAAGGAAACAAATGTAGAGGTTGAGTATTTCTAAAACATACAGAGGCACCTTCCTGCTGTTACTCATATTATGTGAGGTAAACATTCACCAAGAGTGCTAGATAAATACAGAGAGCTTTTGGGGAGGTTAGCTGTTTGGAACT